TTAAATATCTTTCTTTCTCATTAAGTTAAGTTATTTTAGATAATTCACTTTGCAAAATATTGCAATTAATCCAATAATTGCTAGACGCTTCTTTAGTATTGTATTCTTTTCTTACCTTGAAGGTACTGTTGAGAGAATACAAGTCACACATCTCCTTGTGGTGCGAACCCACGGAAGGAAGAACATTTTTTATTGCTTGCTTCATCATTTGTACGAAACAAAATACAGGATATAGGCTTACCCACAGTTTTTAACCACTGGTTGAAAGTACACCACAAGCGCGAAACAAAGAAAATGTGACGTGATTAATGTAGGGTGAACCATTGTATTGAGAAAAATAACTGTGTATTGGCAGACCTAACTTACTTAACAGCGATAGCTTCACGAAGATACTTTTCCAAATATTAAAATATTCATAACTTTTGATCAAAAAATAACCTTATCTTTGTACTGCTTGACACAAAACTAACGAATGGGTTCATAGTGTCTCTACATCTTTGCACCAACTAAATGTAAGACCAACATATACTTCTTGCACTAAAACTCGGGCGAATTATTCCAAAAGGTACTCAAAAGAATATTTCTGATTTAATCTACCTTATGGTTGAATTACCACCTTCTCTCCTATCAACAATACTCTAAGAAAGAAAAAAAAAGCTAATATTTAAAGATTTTTTAAAAATCTGAACTAGAAGATTAAAAATTTCACTTTACAGAAGCCATAAGAATGCGAAATTGTTATAAAAATCGTAGGTTCCTATCCCTGGTCAAATTTAAAGTACCCTAAGATGAGGTACTCGTTTCTAATTACAAATAACAGGATTTCTTTTAGTTTTTGCTTAAAAAAAAAGGGAGAATTATAATTGCTTCAGACTTCAGTTTTGAAGCTTTTCTTCTCGGATTTTGACGTGTAAAATGCTAAACAAGATCATAATTACAGAGCTTACAACAGATGTTAAAAAAAACGCTACCTACGCCTATGGTGAAATCTGCAAGCTAAAGATGAGTAAACTAAACTCAAGGAACCTGTTCCATTAAAAAAAAATTATATTAAGCAAGTCACCCTAGCTGAAATTATAATAAAATAAGTTATCTCACTATATGAGCCTATTAGTAACCAAATTGCGAAATCTGCAACAGATCTATTCGATAAACTGAATCAGCGTCAATGGCTCCCTTCCATCTTCTACAATATAAAATTAAATATATATATTTTTTTTTGCAAAGCTGATGGTATAAGTAAAAAATAAAATTTGAAATAAACATTAAGAAGGGGAATTAGTTTAACTCACCAAACACCTACCATGCAGGAAAGACCACAGTAACACGAGGGGACGGCAGTGTAACCGCTCTAATTAATTAAAATATTCCCCATTTCTGCGTTGAGGGCCTCATCTTCGATCTCTCAGCTATCAACCATTATTTGCGGAAAAAGCCTTGCTCCTAACATGTGACTGTGAAAACCCTTATTCCAATGAAAAAAATTTAGAACTATGGCTAAACGATATAAACTGGTGTTTTAGTTTTAATTAAGTCCATACAATATATAACACGAGGACTTCAGGTATTCTAGACTTGCTATCCTACTTAATTTTCACATGCCAACTGCTATCAATTTTTCACGCGTATCAACATGTAATGATCCCACACTGATTTAATAATTGTTAGCCCACCCACCTCCGTGGCGTACTTTAAAACTTCCAACTGACAACCTTTAATAAACATTGATGATCTTCGTGATGTATGAACGGCGCCACCGTCCCGCATTGTAAACGCTGACTACTAAATGAAAAGGGCAACGAAAAATACTACAATATAGAGCGAACCATTGTCCCCGGTATAAAAGCGCCATGTGGGGTACAGCAACATTTTCTTAATTACTAATTCCGTTAATTTCGGTTCGATTATTTTAAATTGTAATAATTATAAAACCACCCTATTGAAAACTGTACCTTATATTATGGTATTATACCTATGGTAAGCGGTTAAATAAAGTTTGCTCATTTAAATTTATGTCAATCTGTTTTCTTTAGTTTTCTTTATGCTGCCCTTTATTATCTGTAAGTACATATCTTTCTTTTCAACAAAGGATGGCTAATATAATTAACTGTCCAAGTAATTGCTTACTCCGCCATTGGAAAAGCATTATGTTTGTGGAACAATTGCTCATGCTTAATAATCCTCCCCAAAAAAAATATTACAGAGAACATGTGAACACTGGAAATATTTGTAGATACTGTACTCAACATTGTTAAAACTCATTATTTACAAAAATGATGCACAGAAAGGGAAATTTGAACTATTACAGCACTCCGCGCCTGTAAGTTTACAGGCTACCTCTAACATGATGCTAAAATATTTAACACCTACAGGTCTCGCTTTAAAACCTAGTCGTATCCATTTTTATAATGATTGATAAATAATAGATATATTAAATAAGGCGAAACGGCTCTAAAATTTAAAGCAGCTCTGTTATTAACGTGTTTACTAAGTTAGCATTTATTTTTTTAATTTTTTAATGGTGTGCTGTAGATGATCAGTGCATTGACAGTTTTTACTTAAAACCGATGATTCGTTTATAAAATTAATAAATTGGTTACAAGTGATGTTAAAGAAAAGTATGTACCAATGTTAGTAGTCAAAGAAGATGATGTGGTTATTGTTGATCAAAAGATGAAAGAGGAGCCTGCAGTCAAGACTGAATCCGTAGCTATATAAAATGGTAAAAGCAATTACTAGAAAGAAAGTTCTACTAAATCTAATACTTTATCGAGAAGCAAAGAGAATTCATCCAGAAATAAAGATTTTACTTAAGCAAAAGGAAACTCATTAACTAACACTCTTGTTCCTACTATAGCCGAATTACCTTTATGATTTAAACTCTCGGATTATTTTCTAGGATTGTTGTGCGGAATAGTTTAGCATCACCAAATTCATATCACTGAAACTCTGCCCAAGTAAACATGCACCCTTGCCACTCCTTTTTCCAGCAAGGAAACTATATTCAACTGTGAAGGTAAGTTTAAAAGAGGCCTTAAAGGGAGTGAGTTAGACCATTAAATTTAAATGTTAAAACTTCTAATTTTATTGCACTTTTTGCATAATGAGTAAGCGAATTATTAGCTAAATGTCTGGTCATGGCCTTGTAAGCCTTGAAAGCTCCGGCTAACACCCTAATTCATGATTCCTACACTTCTGGGGATTAGCACTGTTTTTCTTCTAAGTAAGGGGTCATTTTTATTCGTGATTTTACTTAATACGCCTATCATAATGGTTAGTCCTGCGTTTTTCTACGGTTTCCGATTTAGGGTAGATTATTGGGCGTCATCGTATCTTGCAGAACCAAGTAGCTATACTCAAAAGTATCCCATCGTATAATGTAAAAGATGGAACTAAATTGTCTAAGATAACAATAAAACTAGCAAAATTACCAAAAGTCTATAACTGGAAAACTGCTTTGAAAATTACAAACATAGTTCAATAGCGTGCAGATGTTTTTTTTTTGTTTTTTAGTCCTTACATTGTTGACATAATTGTAACGGAGACATTAATAAAAGTTGTTCTTTTTTTATAATAGATAGAATAAGAAAATTTTGAGTAAATCTAGAAATTATACTTATTGATGCTATCGAAATCAAGGCTTATATTGTACTTCTTGCATTTAAAGCATTGCATTGTTCTTAAAGCTTTTAACATACCTTGGTCTCAAGATAATGGCTTTTAGTCGTTTTATTGTACCTACTATTATGTCAAGAGACAGCTACATAATCATCACAGTTATGCGACTGAGAACTTAAAAATACGAGAGGAGCTGAAAAAACAAATAAACTATTTCCAATAAGAAAGGTATTTGGAAGTTAATTTGAAATTGTAAGGAATCTTGAGTCCCAAGGGTACATCTATGTTTGTTTTGATAAACAACTTGTGCTCTTTCGAGAAAAAGCCCTTTTTAGAGTATATATACATCAAACATGCAGAACTAATTGGGTAAACTTTATTTTAGCTAAGCTAATATATATTACATGTTACATAAGTACTTTTGCTTCAGGTACACAAGGAAATGCACCGAGGAATATTAGGGACTAAGGGTAAGATTAAATATAGTACAGTATTTCCAGCAAAGTTGTGGTATTACCATCGATAAATTCTTTGCCAGTACGCAACTTGGTTATGAATTGTGGAAAAGGAGTCAGACACCTTTCAGTAAACTACAGAAATAACGCGTTTGTTCCAAACTGAAAGAAAATACGTTTAAGCAAGTTCGCTTTTCAAAAGAACAGAATAGTATTGTATTAGTCTTAAATGAAAAGCTTTTTTTATCTTCCGGGCAAAGTGACTCGTGGAGATTAGTCATGAACCAGACATCACCTTGCTTGGCAACAAAACTACAGGTGCTGTTGATGGTACCTATGAACTTGTCAATGGATATTCAACACAAAAAAAATCCATTGGTCACCGATGTCTATGGTAAAATATTCTTTTACCTCATTGATTTTTTTTTGCAAGTCTAAATGCTTATAAACTGTGTCTTATAGTCAAAACAGAATGGTTAAGTCATAGATCGAATGAATGGTCTTAAATATTTTTAATAAAGTTAGGCATGAAACAGAAAAAAAATTGTTATAGAGCAATTAACATCAAACAAATAAACAGAAATGCACGACTGAAAGTGCGTGTAGTGTACTTATTTTGTATGCTTAAAACCTTTTCCTGGAACTATATGTTATTATGCAAAATTTAATAGTTTGTATATATTTAGATTAATTATAATGAATATTATAATTAATTGAATTTTTTATTATAGTTTTTTAAATGCTTAATTCTTACGTATGGGTAACAATTTCAGGGGGTCTAGCTAGACCCCATTTCGTGTGTCGTAATTTTACTGTCTGTGCGTCGAAGTTTAACTTAATTTTACGTTTAGTGGGAGACGCAGAACTTTTGTCTAGAAGCAACACACAAAAAATTTAAGAATAACTCTATTTAAGTTTAAACATAAAATCACTATATTATTTATTAATAGTATTATTGTTTAGTTTAATAAAAGTTTTATTACTACTGTATTATATACAAATATATATAAAATACTTTCTTTCATATGTTATATATAGTTTTGGATTGACCGGCTGAGGACACAACTCTAATTTGAAGATACAAAGGATGGTGTGCTACTCAGGCGGCTTGGGAACAAAAAAGTAAGTATTATAGCTCTTTTTAGTTTTAACCCTATATTATATTTATTTATAATATAATGTGTGTAAAATATATTATTTCATCAAGTTTTCAAGTCTGTAAGATTAACTACGATTAATAACCTTTCTCGAAGCAGCTCGAAAAAAAAGAATTAAGGTCAGTTACTTAATTAAAAAATAAGCTAGAAATGAAGTATCTAAAACTAACCCGAGAAAAAGTATGTTTTAATTTTGTGTGCTTCAGTTTCTTAGTGGTATTGATGTATTATCAGGAAGAAGTAAATACGAGAGCTTAATTATCTTCAGCAAACTTTAAAGAGAGGTCATGTATTATTTCCTCGTTTGACCTTGATCCATTAAGGTGATTTTGATGTACAGATATAGTTGAGCAGTTTACAAGGTGAGGATCTAGAAAAAAGCAAGTTCAGAAAATAAGCAGAGCGTATCCTTAGATTAAACTAGATTCCCCATAAGAAGTCAGAAATGAAACTTGCCCCTTTTTGAGTAAAATTAAGGGTGGTAGTATTCGTCTTGCATGGAATAGTTATGTTTTTTAAAGACAAGTTAAAGCGTAGGGTATTTCAAGGGAAGTATGACAAGCTTTTACAGGTAGGTTACCAGAATTAACGAAGGAGTACGAGCGGAATCATGGAGAACTCAAAACCCGAAATGAAAAACGCTTGCGAAGAGGATAAACAATTTAAACCAAAAGCATAAATGCAATTGTGCGATGATTTTCCAGGCCCAAATCGACAAGGTATTGTTAAGCATTATACATTTTCGACTGAAAAACTTAATATAAAAGCGAGGAACAGCAACAGCTTTATATTTAGATAATGCTTAAGATCTTTATCAGCGGGGTTAGAGAAAAAGAGTAAATCATATTATGCTTTCCAATGCCGGACGGTGTAGGGTGCAATGGACTGTATTATATTACCTTCTGATTATGAAATGCTCTATTTGAATACCAGAGGGCATGGAATTCGTAACAGCTGCCCTCAGAGACACATGTTTAAATGGATGACTGCCTAATCTGATGATGGGTCATTTAAGGCTTTGCGCTTTTATTTCCAGGTATGGGAACTTTAACGTAAAACTAAGACTTATGGAATGTATTTTTTTTAAAGATCTCTGTAAAATAGTATAAATATAGGATAAGTAAGAAAGGCTCTTGGATGTGTGCGGAAAGGCTACAAGCCTTTAGTTACACTACCCTAAAAAACAAAAAAAAATATGCGGTTTGTTGCAGATGTTGAACTATAGGAGTATTACAAACCGAACCACGCTGTATTACTGGAGCCTTTAAACAGGTTACTTAGAGAATATAAAAGTGATCTGGGGAGATGTACAGAGGTCTGCTTGTGGGAAGGGTTTAAACATTTTAGAAGCGAAAGTATATGTGGAACAAGTGAAATCCAATGAAGATTAGACTAGTGCCTTTAACAGTAAAATGTGTGATCTTTACTTCAACGATATGGCGGCCAATCAAAAGAAGCGGAGTAGATGAGGTTGTAACGTATGTTATTTTAGTGCACTGACACTTTCTGCTCTAGTGACTGAAGCATAATAAAGATTTTTCAGTACTAAAAACTATATTGTAATGTGTTAATTTCACTAGCCCAGTGACGCTCTCTACGCAAGAAGCGGCCACTCCGCAACTACGCGAGAGAAGAAAAAGATCTCTCGAATCGCGCCACTGGCTATAGCTTATATACATTACTTTACAACTTAGTCCTCGCCAAATTACATGCACTCACTAACTACATTTATGCCAAAAAATTGCTAATAAATCACATGCAAAGCGGAAACCGATGAATGTAATAAAGCAGAACCTTAACTACCGCTTGATAGCTTATCCATGGATATAATAAATTTACCCAAGGCCAAAACGGGCCGTGATAGTGTTTTGACGGTAATGAACAGAATTTTATAATACGTATGGACAATTACAGGATGCAGAGACCAGTTGTGTTTATATCGGGTAAATACTCTGTTTTCATCAGCTCTGAAATAAAAAGTTGCCGGAAAAGTTATTTAAACTATAAAAAAGGGGTTGAGCGATTGGTTATGATAAACAAGTTGAAATTTTAGATTATACACATAGTTATACGACCAAACTTATTAGATGTGTCTCCAAGGCTGTTGCTTGTCTTACTAACAAGGATATTTTAGAAGAAATATAGCAAGTAACTATTAGAACACAAAGTAGAACCGCGATAAGATAGCAATATTTTGGAGAGCGCATATAAAAAAGTTAACTCATAAATACTATTCATTAGATCTCAAAGAGATTTTTTCCTATTTTAAATATATACTTTCAAGGAAGGGTTTCAAAATAATGTTTGTTATATGTGCTTTAATTTAGAAGTACAAATAACTTTTTGCTAAGGCCTCCGAGCAACTGTAGTGCGTTCTTCGCGGAGGTTAATCTGGGGCGATCGCTTATATATACCAGGTAGGCAACGCAACTGCCCTTCGAGCAGTCGAGGAGGCCTAGCTGGCCTTTTGCTGTCTGGTCTCTGGTACCTGTGACTTCCTCCGCCGTATTAGGGGAAACGGTGGGCGTTTGAGTCCGGTATTTCCCCTTTTTTCCAGTTTCGGGACAGTCGTTGTAACTCCTTTCGAAACCGTAAACTGGTGGGCTTGTGGTCCCATGCCTTCTCGAGTAAGAGAATACAGATTAAGGGGCACAAGATCCCTTTATAGATCGAAACGGTGGAATGCTAGTGATAAAATAAGAATATATTTCGCCAAGTAAGAGTGGTTATTGCTTTATTCTTTATTTCTTAAGACCAAGAAGGCCTAATTCTGTTACCTTCTCTATAAACACTTTTCGCTTAGTCCTTCTCTTTGTCCCACTCCATGCCATGCTCTTTGGTTTTCAATTTTATTCTCACCTGCGCACAGCTTTAAATTAGTGGTGTCTCTACTTCGCTGTTAATCTAAACTTTTAGTTGTCTTTAACCTCAACTCTTGTGCAAAGTTTTTAGTTAGATTATAACCCCATTCTTGCTTGAAGCTCATGGCGACTAGCATGCCAGTGCATAATTAAATAAGTCCGTAGAGTAACAGGGAGCCATAAGTTTTACAGTAGTAACAATTAACCCATATAATTCCATAACGCCAGTAAAATACGTGAGAATTCAATTCCCTGAACGAAAGATAAGCCTTATTATTAGATTAATTAAATCCTTAAAATTTAATCTTACCTTTAAATAACTGTGATAAAAGGTAATTTATTAAACTTGCCATTCTAACAAAGTTTTGTTATAATATAAAACAAATAAGCCAAAATGCGACTTAAGACACATAAATATGTATTTATTCTACTTTATTATCGGTAACGCAATCCCATTAACAAGCCCACAACAGCAAAGCGAAAAATTAGGACTGCTAGCATAAGCGAGGATATAAAAAAAAAAAATTAAACCGTGTCCAATAGTAAAAGAGCAAAATAAAGAAAAAATTAAAAGGGGTTGACTTAGTTCATTAATTTTTTTTTTTACAAATGACAGTTCCTGGTGTTCGATCGAGTTGAAAAACTTTGAATGCTCAAGTTCTCAATAAGGAAAAAACAGCTTTCACGATAAGGTGTCATTTTTTTTCTTGACAGTAACGAACAAAAAAAACTAGCGATTACCACGTCACGTGGACCGTCCCATGACTTGTAATTGAGTTCGCTTACGAGCAGGAGGTTAGTGTGTGTGGCTAGCCTTTCGTAAAGGGCGTTGGCAATGTGTTAAAAACGTCTCCAAAGGATTCAGCTCAAAATCCCGGTGAAAAACATGATTTTGCACACGCTATTGAAGTAAAGCCAAGGTGCAAGCAACAGACGTTTATGCCATTATCGGCTGGATGTAAAACATGAACAATTTAAGTTTGACTCGCAGAGAAAACTTGCTCTTGCCGTATAGTAAAGGGTAAAGCGCCTTAGTTGCTGCCTTGACCCTCCCCTCTACATAGTCCACGTGTGGCTGCCAGGAAAATTTGTTGTAAGAACCCACGTAATCTTCAAGCCAACAAAGGGACGCGTTTCTTTGTAATTAAAAACTCTTTGCTCTTCATCGAATTTATTGAAACTTTCTAAATACGGCACCAGTCCGCCAGGGCGACAAGATAGCGCTGTAGATGGTTGCGTTGCAAAGCGGGAGGCTTACAAAGAGCAACGGTCATAATAGCGGCATAGAGGACGGTTCGTGTGTGTGGAATTAAGGGCAAGGGCACGTCGCTCATATCATTTTAAGTAAAAGGGACGGGAGAGGTGATTTCTGAGGGGCCCCTGCTATCAGAAATCGCAGCTGCAACTGTGTATCTTCCACGCGCACGCTGAAGGCGCGACCGTTTAGTTATGACTTTAGCAAGTTTAAAGGCCATGAGGAACGGATAGCGAGCGCAGCTTGTGCAGCAGAACTTTCAGGTCAAACTTGAGCAATTGCCTTCCTAACGACGAAATAAGACAGCACCCGTTGACTTCTTAAAGTTAAAAGCGTTAGTGGTTCACACAGTTAAGCAAAGGAGCTGCTGGGTCGTTAGGTGCCCTTGCCGAAATCCAAACTAACACTCCAGTGAGGAGTCCCGAGCGTCGACGACATCTTTAAGACGGCGTAATAAAACGGTCTCACCCACTTTGCCGACCGCTGACAGGAGTTTGATGGGTCAGTACTTGCTAGTTGCTGATTCCGGTTTTGGTGACTTCAGCACCATCACAACGGTCGCTATTCCAACCTACCGGAAAGACGCCAAGTACCATCGCAGATTTTATCAGGAGGTACAGATAATGCATCCCCATAATAGTTTTTCCTCCAGCGTTCCACTAGTGATGCCATCGGGACCAGGCACTTTTTTCTTAGTTAGCTTCGACAATCGCTTGAAACTCGTCAACATTAATTAGTTCAGGTGGCTCGTGAACATCGGGAAGGGGTAAGCTCAGCTAGGGGAGTGCCTCATTGACAGTTAAGTGAGCAGATGACACGCTTGAGGTAGCAAGGAGATTAGCGAAAAGCATAGCTTTGTTTCCATCACTCTCAGCCACTATATTTCCTTCACAAAGGGAAGGGGTGCAAGTCTCAGTGTCTGCTGCTGCCTGATTTTGATATATTATTCAGTTTGACCTCCTATTTATAATTAAAATAAGCCATTAGTTTCTTTCTTATGCATCTGTGCAGTCGGATAAGCGCAAGTTTGTCTTCGGCGCTCTGTTATTACATAACCGTTCGGGTAAAGCGTCGACGCTAGCAAATGTCTTCAGTTAGTCAAACAGGCGATCGGGGTTATACATAGTGAGTCACATTCAGTGCGCTTTCAAATGGCATCATCCAGCAGGGCGGACGATGATGGTAGTAACGGGGCACGGCGGAAGCGTGGTTTTCAATAATTCAGCATATTTGTCTCAGTTGACAAACAGACGGTGATAGACTTTTGTGATTCCTTTTCATGGTCGGAGAACAACTCGTTGAGCACTTCAATTGCCGTTGTGATATGGATATCTTATAGTAGGGGCAATATCCAGTACGTCCATTGTGCCAGTAGGCGCCAAGTGTCTATTGGTTGCTGGGGGCCTAGTATGCACAGCTCATGGTCAGCAGGCCTCAAGGATGCAGCCACTAGAATTATCGCCTCAGCTGTTCCACAACGAGTGCTTGTAATTAAGATTCCGGCACAAAGCAACAGAAGTGTCACTAACAAAGATGGCGTCCATATCGGAGGGCGGTAATAGCTTCCAAGGGATTTGTAGACAGCGATCACAGACACGGCTCTCTGGTCGGCCATACATAGAAAAATTCACATTGCCTCGACACTTTGTAGAACTGGCAGAGATATCGAATTATGTTGAATGCTCCATTTTACCAAGAAAGCAATGCCCTGCGTGCATCGATCCGGTCCTGGCTATACGTAACGATGTTGCTCAGGTTATATGCGACGTTAGGAAGGAGGTGCGTCTCGTTGATTGCGCACGCACCAATTCTTTCAGGTTGTAGCAGCTCCTGAAGCTCGTGCTTCTTACTCTAAACACCATTCGCATTCCAAAATAGGGGTTAAATGTAGCAGCGCGTCTTCGGTCTATAAACCGTTGCAAACAAATTCCTATTTTTTTTTCACTTTCAAAATGCTGGATAATTTGTCGTTAGAATCGCTAACAGCTGCCATAGGCCAAATGTGGTTATTACCGTCCCTGATCAGCTTTCGAAATGGGGGCATGACAATAGCTTTGAAAACTAACGAAATAGGTCGGCGAGTCTTAGTGAGGTTTGTCTTCAAACGGGGCGCGTAAGAGATCCTCGGGGTAACGATATATTGTCTGTAGTGGGCACCGACATAGTAGACTTTTTGGGTGGATGGTTGCCTTCCGTGGGTAGTATAAGCAGCCTTGATAATTAGCAGTGTGCGATCCACCGCAATTAGCACAACTAGCAGACCATCTCGTGCTTTCGCGCATAAGGTTGCTGTCAAGTGGCGCTCACCACATATAACGCTTCGAGGGGCTGTGATGCAAAAGCTTGCGGTGTGCCCAAATATCCCACAACGAAGGCATTAGCCAAAGAGTTTACTCTTCCGAAGCTTCTCCACACAAATT